CACCAAAGGCACAAGGAAAGTATTAGCCCAAGAGACAGAAAGGGCCACATAAACCAGAGACTTCATCAGCCTGAGACCAGAAGAACTAGATGGGCCCGGCTACCACCAATGAATGTCCTGATAGGGAACACAACAGAGTCCTGGATGGAGCAAGGAGAAAGGTGGGGTGCAGAACTCAAATTCTAGTAAGACCAGACTTAATTGTAGTAAACTTCATTTAAACTACAACAATTAAAAAAAAAAAAAAAAAAAGCCAATTCTGGAGCAGAGAGAGAATCTCACTACCACCAAGGAAGAAGAGCCAAGATTGGAACGCATGTTTGGATGTGGGATCTCTGAGCTGAGAAGCTCCTGGAACCAGGAGACATAGAGAGAGAAAGAGCTGTAATGTTAAAGACAGTGAAAAGCAGTGGCAGAGAAACAGTGTCAGGAGAGACCAGCAGGAGACAGCGCAGTGGGCTTCCCAGCCCATGGAGCGAGAAAGCTTGAGTGCCTTTGGGCTGAGGCTTACTGCTGGAGTGGGGTGCCTCTGGGCACTTACTGGCACAGCTAAAAACAGCTTTGTAACACTTGCCAGAGCAGGGCAGAGGCAGAAGGGTCAGAGAGAGGAGTGCCTGAGGCACAGCTGAGAAGAGGCTGTCCTGAGCATTCCTAAACCTGAATTGTAACCTGTTACTTCCCTAATAAACTCAATAATCATTTAAAAAAGAAAAAAATTGTTGTTGACAATCTACACAGCAGAGCGTGAATCTATTCGACAGTTTCTACATGTACAGTTCAGTGATTTGATTACATTCTTTGAGTTGTGCAACCGTTGTCACCCTCCGTTTCTGAGTTGTTCCTCCTCCGTTAACATAAACTCACTGCCCCCTAAGTTTCCTATCTAATTTTTCGAGTTGCTGTTGTTAATTTGATCCTGTATGGATAGTTCTCAAAAGAACACAATGCTCAAGGCAGATATTTTTTACTAGTTAAGCTAAACTATTTTTTGGTTTTAAGAAGACTTCAGTGGATATCTTTGGTTTAAGGTTTAAAGATTATCTCAGGGCGATAGTTTCAGGGGTTCATCCAGCCTCAGTGGCTCAAGAAAGTCTGGAATCCATGAGAATTTGCAGTTCCAGAACTTTTTTATCACCTCAGAAGGGAACCCCACACCCGTTCACAGTCACTCCCTGTCCCACCACCCCCAGTCAAGCCCCTGGCAGCCACTAATCTACTTTCTGTCTCTTTGCCTTTACCTAGTCTGGATATTTCACATGGGTGGGATGATACAATATTTGTTATTTTGTGTATGACTTATTTCAGTCAGCGTCATGTTAACAAGGTTCACCCATGTCTCAGCATGTGCTAGAACTTCATTTCTGAGATGCCAGTTGACTCCCCCACTGTGATGGGTGTTACCGTAAAAACAGAAAGCAACAGGTTTTGATGAGGATGTGGAGAATTGACACCCTTATCCATTGCTGGTAGGAATGTAAAATGGTGTAGCCACTGTGGAAAACAGTATGATAGTTTCTCGAAAAGTTACACATAGAATTACCATAAAAAGCAAAAAAACAAACCAGTTTGCTCAGTGGATTCTGACTCATGGTGGCTCCATGTGTCAGAGTAGAGCTGTGTTCCATAGGGTTTTCAATGGCTGGTGTTTTGGAAGCAGATCACCAGGCCTTTCTTTTGAGGTGCCTCTGGGCAGTCTTGAACTGTCAGCATTTCAGTTAGCATTACCAGCTGATTGTTTAACTTTGCTACCCAGGGACTGTAGAATTATGATATGACCCAGCAGTTCCACTCCTGGGTATATGCCCAAAAGGATTGAAAGCAGGGACTCAAACATCCTTGTACATCAGTGTTCACTGCAGCATTATCCACAACAGGTGAAAGGTGGAAACAACCCTAGTGTCCATCAACAGATGAATGGACAAACAAAATGTGGTACATACACACAAGGGAGTGCTACCCAGCCATAAAGAGAAATGAAGTCCTGATGTATGCCACAACATGGAGGAACCTTGAAAACACTATGCTGAGTGAAGTTAATCAGACACAAAAGGACAACTATTGTATAATCCCACTTACATGAACTATCTGTTGTTGTTAGGTGCCATCGAGTCAGTTCTGACTCATAGCGACCCTACGTACAACAGAACGAAATACTACCTGGTTCTGCGCCATTCTCACGATCCTTGTTAGGCTTGAGCCCATTGTTGCAGCCACTATGTCAGTTGATCTCGTTGAGGGTCTTCCTCTTTTTCACTGACCCTCTACTTTACCAAGCATGATATCCTTCTCCAGGGACTGGTCCCTTCTGATAGCATGTTCAGAGTACGTGAGACAAAGTCTTGCCATCCTTGCTTCTAAGGAGCATTCTGGGTATACTTCTTCCAAGACAGATTTGTTTGTTCTTCTGGCAGTCCATGATATAGTCAGTCTTCTTAGCCAACACTGTAATTCAAGTGCATCAATTTCTCTTTGGTCTTCCTTATTCAGTGTCCAGTTTTTACATGCATATGAGGTGATTGAAAGTAGCATGGTTTGGGTCAGGCACACCTTAGTCCTCAAAGTGACATCTTTCCTTTTTAACACTTTAAAGAGGTCTTTTGCAGCAGATTTGCCCAGTGCAATGTGTCATTTGATTTCTTGACTGATGCTTCCATGGGCGTTGAAGAAATATCTAGAACAGGCATATGATATGCATAGAGATCATAGCCTATTACGTTACCAGAAATGGAAGGGAGAGGGATAAGAGGAGTTAAAAAACAACCTTCATTCCTTTCCGTTGCGAGATAGCATTCCACTGTACGTATGTACCCCGTTCATCTGCCGAAGGCACATGGTAGCATTGAGATTTAGGTGACACTGGGATTTGAGCTAGGCCCCTGTCCCTGTTAGCAGTGGCCATGTGGTGACCAGTTCCCCTTGTCTTCCCCTGCCTGGGCCTGCACCCCTTACCCCTCCCCATCCCTGTGTGCATGGCAGCTATGTGTTGACTGTGCCCCCCATTCCCTCTGCCTGTGCCCCTCACCCCTCCCTGTCCCCCTGTGTATGTGGTGACTGTGTGCTGACCGATGACCATTGCCCGGTCCTGGTGCAGGCCATGACGCTGATGGAATACCTGATCAAGACTGGCTCGGAGCGTGTGTCGCAGCAGTGCAAGGAAAATATGTACGCTGTGCAGACACTCAAGGACTTCCAGTACGTGGACCGCGACGGCAAGGACCAGGGCGTGAACGTGCGTGAGAAGGCAAAGCAGCTGGTGGCCCTGCTGCGTGACGAGGACCGGCTGCGAGAGGAGCGTGCCCACGCGCTCAAGACCAAGGAGAAGCTGGCGCAGACCGCCACTGGTGAGCTTACCTTCCCCTGGAAGCCCCTGGTGTCTGGGAGCCTCCTGCCGCATCTTCCTCCGTCCTGGCTGCAGGACCCTGCAGCCCCCGGTGCAGGCTTTGCTCTCTCCTTTCCTTCTCTTCCTGGGACCTTAGCCACAGGGCCCCTTTGGACTGCCCTTCCCCTCGTGCCTCCCCCTGCCACTCCAGGGCCCTCCCTGCCCTTCCCTCCCACGGCGGGGAGGCTCGATACCCGGTCACACACAGATGCTGACTAGGCGCCCGCAAGAGCCCTGAGCCTGAGCACAGCAAAGCACCTCTTTCCCGAAGCGCACACCTGGGCCTGAACCATGGATAGGGAGGATCCCCAGGGAACTGCCATCAGCCATGCTGGGTGGGGAGCAGGTGGTCCCTGCAGTAGAACTGGGCCTGCCCTGTGGGGACAGGAAGATGGCTGAGTGGGGATGAGGGCAGTGTGCAGGAGGCAGCCTGCAGGGCCTGTTGGTGGAGAAAGGTCTGTGGACCTGCTTTGTTGTTGTTAGGTGCCGTTGCGTCAGTTTCAACTCACGACGACCCCATGTATGTCAGAGTAGAACTGTGCTCTATAGGGTTTTCAATGGGTGATTTTTTAGAAGTAGATCACCAGGCCTTTCTTCCAAGGTGACTCTGTGTGGACTTGAACTCTAGCCTTTGGTTAGCACATGAACATGTTTAACTTTCCAAGTGTTTTTGTTTTTGTTAGGAGCTATTGAGTCGATTCTGACTCATAGTGATCCCATGTGACAGAGTAGAACTGCCCCATAGGGTTTCCAAGGCTGTAATTTTTATGGGAGCAAATTGCCAGGTCTTTCTCCTGTGGAGCCATTGGGTAGGTTTGAACTTGACTTTTTGGTTAGCAGTCGATCGCTTAATCATTGCCCCACCAGGACTCCCTTTAGGAGTTTATAAGATTGTTGATCCTGAGCTGCCCATTGGTGGGGAAATTAGTTTTGGTGGGTGGTGACAATCGATAATAAAAAAAGTGGGATAGAATAAGTGGAAAGTCAGAGCGCACCACAGGTAGTAAGACTAAGGTTTGCCGCACGAAACCTTTTAGGTGCTGTGGCTCATGATGAGACACGCTTTCTCACTGGGTGGTCACAGCCAAAAACAGTTGACTAGTGGCATTGTAGGAGCAGTGGGAAGCCTATGGGAAGTTTGCCTCAGGGAGGCTAAAGACGTGATTGTTGTTAGTTGCCGTGGAGTCGACTCCAACTCACGATGACCCCATGTGTGTCAGAGTACAACTGTGCTCCCTAGGGTTTTCAGTGGCTGATTTTTCAGAAGCAGATCACCAGACCTTTCTTCTCAGGAGCCCCGGGGTGGACTCAGATCTCCAGCCTTTTGGATACCAGCCATAAACGTTAACCATTTGCACTACCCAGGGACTCCCTCTTGAGCAAAAGCCTCCAATAAATTCCTAAACACCAGTTGTCATCAAGTTGATTCCGACTCATGGTGACACCGTGTGTGTCAGAGTAGAACTGCAGTCCATAGAGTTTTTAATGGCTGTGATCTTCCAGAAGCAGATTGCCAGGCCTTTCTTCCAAGGTGCCTCCAGGTGGGTTTGAACTGCCAGCTTTTCAGCTAGTAGCACTTAACCATTTGTGCCACTCAGGAACTCCCAAAGATGATGTGAATGTTGTGGAAAGATGAGTCCAGCTGCTCCTGGACAGTGGATCAGGAGAGAAGGGTGGAGGGCAGGTGGGGCAGGCGCAAGCTGGGGGGACAGTCAGGAGACTCGGGTGTTCCGGGTGGTGGGAGTGGTGGTGGTCAGGTGCAGAGAAGAGCGATCCCTGTGCTTGCTCTAGGGGACAAAGGGGCTTGAGCAGGTGCTGTAGGCGGAGGGAGCCTGCTCCCAGGATCCTCGTGGGAGAGATGGTTTGCTGGGGGACGATGCAGCACTCCTTTTAGACCTCAAGTGGACTTGAGGTCACTGCCTGGTGTCCATGTGGAGGTGTTGGGACACACTGGGCATGCGAGACATGGCTGTGCTGGAACTACAGGACAGGACCTTGTGGGCCCACAGAGAGAGGAGGGCATGAGAGCAGGTAGCTGGGACCAAGTCCACTGAGGAGGCAGGCCAGGCAGGAGAGTAGGGGTCCTAAAGGCCGATCCCACTGTCCAGAGGTCGAGGAAGAGCCTGGTGGAGACACGCTGATGGGCTCAGGGTGGCTGGCAATGGAGGTGTGGGCTGGGGTGGCCCAAGGAAAGGCGTCAGGTCAGAGAATAGTTGTCAACCTCAGGTGGCTCCTCATTATCACACATTTTGCTGAAATGGAGCAGAGAGATGGGGTGCTACCTGCAAGGGAGTGTGGGGGACCCCCCAGGGAGGCATTTTTAATGGTTAGAGGGGTTGGCTAGCCTTGTGATGGCCAGGCAGCGAATGTTCCAGACTCTGCGAGCCCCAGGGTCTAGGTGGCTGCACTGCTGCTTTGCCTAGCCTTGTGCACACGAGTGGGCGTGGCTGGGAGCCAGAAAAATGTTCTTCATGGACACTGACATCCCAACGACCTGTCATTTTCGTGGTCTCGAAATAGTCTTCTTTTGATTTTCTTTTCCCACCCAGCCAATTAAAAGCATAAAAACTTTTTTTACCCTTAGGGCAATATGGAAACAGCTGGTGGGCCTGCCCACTGTTTCCAAGTTTGCCAAGCCATGTCCCAGAGCCCAAAGTCCCTGGGTGGTGCAAACGGGGAACGCACTTGGCCACTAACTGAAAGGTTGGAGGTTTGAGTCCACTCAGAGGCACCTTGGAAGAAAGACGTGGTGATCTGCTTCTGAAAAACCAGCGAACATCAGCTGTGCCATGTGGTTTGCTTTTTGTTTAGTTAATTGACTGTTTGCTAGAGCAGTTTAGGTTCACAGTAGGAAAACTGCAGAAAGCACAGGGAGTTCCCATGTACCCCACACAAGAGTGCATGGGTCCCAGGGCTTGGTGGGGGAAAGGGGAGAGGATGCCACTCAGGACATCAGGGAGAGGAAATGAGGGTTCGGGGAGGGGCAGGGAGGAGCAGAGTGGTGAGAAGGTGCAGACCAAGCAGCCAAGCGTTTGTATTTTGCAGAATACTTAACATGATTATTGTTAGTAGTAGATGTTGAGTCGACCCTGACTCATGGTGACCTCGTATGTGCAGAGAACTGCTTCATAGGCTTTCAGTGGCTGATTTTTTGGAAGGAGATCTCCAGGCCTTTCTTTTGAGGTGTCTCTGGGTGGATTTGAATCTCTAACCTTTTGGTTAGCAACTGAGTGTGTTCACCATTTGCATCATCCAGGGACTCCATGAGATAGTTGTTAGCTGCCTTCGAGTCGATTCTGACTCATGGTGACCCCATGTGTGCAGAGTAAAACTGCCCCATAGCGTTTTCAAGGCTGTGACCTTTTGGAAGCAGAACGCTAGGACTGTCTTCTGAGGCACCTCTGGGTGGGTTTGAACTACCAAACTTTGGGCTGGTAGTGGAACACTTTATTGTGGAGCAGCCAATCTCGCCCGCTCGTTTAAGCGTTTGCCCTCAGCTTCTCTGGTGGGTGCTCCGAGCCTGGCTCTGAATCCATCCGTGTGCTTGGGGATGCTGCAGCTCTTGACTGGCCCCGGGAATTGAGCCTCCAGGCTGCTGCCCTGGAGCATATCTGGAGCCCTCATGGGTAGGGGACAGGAGGAAGGAACCCCTGCAGCCTCTGGGACAGGCCTTGAGTATGCTGGGAGGGCCTGGGTCCCTGGACACTGGCAGAATCCTGGCTCCCGAAGTCCCCTCCTTCTCTGTATCAGCAGACTCTTGTTCCCCTGGTCCTAGCCCTCTCGTGGGTGGGGCAGCCCCTCACCCATGCCTGGGGTGAGTACACAGGAGCCTGATCAAGCTCACAGCCCCCACCTTGGGCCACCCTTCCCCTCCTGTAGGCCTGGTATCTGAGCCCAGGCTTTCCCTGGGGAACTTCACAGCCTCAAACTCAGTCTTTGGAGGGGGTAGGGCGGAGGTGGGCCAGACTTGGGGGGAGTTTGGAGGACCTCAGGCTGTGCCAGCATAGAGACAGAAGCCTGTCTGTGTCTAGTTTTGGGGTTTTTTCCCCTCTGCTCCCCTGGTCTGTGCTCACCCTTGTTCTCCCCCAGCTTCCTCAGTGGCTGTGGGCACAGGGCCCCCACCTGAGGCAGAGCAGGCGTGGCCACAGAGCAGCGGGGAGGAGGAGCTGCAGCTGCAGCTGGCCTTGGCCATGAGCAAGGAGGAGGCTGACCAGGTACTGGGCATGGGGCCACAGTGGGAGGGCTGGGAGTGGGGGTCTACTTTTGTTCTCCATCCCATCTCCACGTCTTCAGCCTCCTTATCCTGCCCACCTGCCCACCGCCTCCTCTCCTGACCTCCTCATCCTCCACACCAGCCTTTGTTACCTTGGTCCCAGGCTTCCCTTTCCTCCTTCCCCTTTCTGGATGCTTCCCCTGCATCCAGCCTGTCCCCCTCCTCATGCTGCCACTCTGTGGGCTTCTCTGCTTTCGTGTCTGTTTCTCTGCTTTGCTTTGCTCTGGCCCTCAGCCCACTTGGGAATCGTCTTCCTATTTCTTTCTCTCTCTCACTCTTGCTATTGAGCCGTGGTTCTCTCTGCCCCTGCCTTTCCGTCTGGGACTCTGGCTTGTTTTCCCTCTCTCTGTCTCTTGTCGCTGGCTCCTGCCCCCCCGCTCGCCCCAGCTCTCCTCACATTCTCTCTGTCTTTTTCTCCCTTTCTTTTGTCTCTCTCTGTTGCTGGCCCCTGGCCCCCCTCATGTTCTCTCTCTTTCTCTTTCTTTACAACTTTCTGTCTCTTTCGTTGGCCCCCAACCCCGTTCCCCCTGACGCTCTTGCTGTTTCTCTTTCTCTCCATCTCTATCTGTTGCTGGCCCCCGGCTCCCTGGCCCCCCTCACACTCTCTCTCCCTCAGCCCCCGTCCTGCGGCCCCGAGGACGACGTCCAGCTCCAGCTGGCCCTTAGTTTGAGCCGTGAGGAGCATGATAAGGTCAGAGCAGCACCTGCCCCTCCCCGGAGCACCTGCAGACCCTTGGGTCCCACCCTTAAGCTTTCCTTCCTGGGTCCTGGCCATCGGGTCCACAGCCCGCAGCTCTGCACACATTCAAACCTTAGTATTTCTAGCTGTGGGGCTGTGTGTTAGATAGTCTCAGAGAGACAGACACCTAGGCGTGACACGCGGGAGGTGTAGCTGCTCTGGGTGAGACCCTTCTCTCCCCTTCTGTGGCTCCGCCAACCCCACCCAGTGCAGAGCATCACTGAGTGCAGAGCATCATTGAGTGCAGAGCATCAGCCACCCTCTGAGTGTCCCCCATCTCCAGGTGCTTCCCAGGTGTCTCTGAGCCCCCCTCCCTCCACCCTGGGCCTGTCCTCCAACACAGCACCTCCATGAGTCTTCATTCCCTCTCGTCCTTGACCTCGGTCGTTCCCCCTATTCCATATGTTGTTCACATCCCATTTTAATTACTAGTCACCTTTGTTGGGGTGGGAGAGGGTTCTGGGGCAGCACTGGGGTTCTGGGCCCCCCCTCCCCCCCTGAAGTCTGTCTCAGACTCTGACCTCTGTGCCCTGCCCCCTCCTTGGCTGTCTGTTTCCATCCACCCCTCCCACAGGAAGAGCGGATTCGTCGAGGGGACGACCTGAGGCTGCAGATGGCCATTGAGGAGAGCAAGCGGGAGACCGGGGGCAAGGAGGAGGTGAGGGAGGGCACTGAGGAGGAGGGGGATGATGTTGAGGAGGGACCTTGAGGAGAGGGGACCCTAGGGGGGAGGGGCCCTGAGGAGGAGGGGGCCCTAAGGAGGAAAGGGGGTGATGTTGAGGAGGAGGTCATGGGGGGGTCACTAACGAGGAAGAAGTAAGGACCCCCCTCACCTCCAGATTGCTGTTACCGGTGTCTTCTCATTCATTCTGCTTCTGGCTCTGGCCAGGCCCCTTGGAGGAGCTGGAGAAACAGGCTAGGAAACAAGGCCCACCCTCCCCCGAGAGCCCGACACCTGTGGACAGGTGACCTGGTGCCTCCACAGGTCCCCTTCCTGCAGGTGGAGAGGCTCACCTGTGCCTCACGGCGTCATTGTGAGGACTGGGGAAGTGTGTGGAGGGGTGCCTGGGTGCGGCGGTCGGGGCTCTGTAAGCTCTGAGCCACATTTGGGCACTGCGGCTGTGACCGCTGTCACCCCCATGCCAGGCGCCACTGTTGCCAGTCATCACCATTGAATAGGGAGAGGACTGAGGAAATGTGGAAATATGACGTGATAATTGCTAAAGGGAGACAGCGTGGGGCTTGTTGGCCTGTCGTGTTTTTTTGGGCACCAGGCACCAAGGACCCAATGGTCCTGCCCCGGGGCCTCCGCTCCAACTGTGGAGACGGCCATTGCATTGTTGGCATTTCAGTTACCTGTGTCTGTGCTGCCAACCCTCCTAACATGGTGGTGTCTCTGACGGTTGATTCTCAGGCCAACTGGGCTCAGCATGTGGTTCTTCTGCTCCGTTTGTGATAGGTCTCATGCAGCCAGGGCTAGGACATCCTAGCCGGCCTCACGTCCTCTAGCCTCTCTTCCCATGGCCACTCTACACCCACCAGTCTGTCCCTAGTGTCTTTACAGCGCTGCCGTGGCTGGTGCCCAGTACTATGGGTTTCGGGCTGCCAGGCTCCCTCCTGAGGACCTATTGTCCCTCCAGTTGTCACATCCCACCATCTGCAGCAGGTCACAGCGCTGTGAGAGAGGCCCCTTCACCTGCCACATTGTGCTTCTTGGTTGGCAGAAGCCCTGTTTGAGCAGGCTTAGCTGCAGAGTCTGTGTCAGTGCCTCTCACAGCAGAGAAGGATCTGGGTAGTGAGGGGGCTTGCAGGCCTCACTCCACCCATCCGGTTTCCTTCTGAAGGCAGGATCTCAGGTCACCCAGTGGGAAGGAAGGTCTCCCGAGGCCACGTGTCTCCCTGGGAAGGTGCCAATGGGCACGTGTTTGTGGTGGGGGGAGGGCATTTCACACCTAAAGAGACAGTCAGTGCTTGTCAGCTGGGTCTGAGCCTTGTGCCTTCCCTGGAATGCAGGGAAATATTGTGTGTGAGGGGTGGGGGTGGGGGTGCTCTGGAGAGCTCAGAGCACACAGTCACTGAAGGGAAGTGAGGTGGGCATCGGGACAGGCATGTTCAGGGCAACTTGGGCTTATTTCCTGGGCCTGACCTAGTCAAGGGGGCAGAGGCCAGCGATGGCTCCCTGGAGGAAGGCCGATTGAGCTGGAGACCCTAGGGGGAAGAAGGGGAGGAGCGCCCCAGCTAGAGGGTGCATTTGGTGAATGGAGCTGGGCTAGGTGAGGATTGATCCTGGGTAGGAGTGAGGGCCAGATGTGGTTCTCCACTGCTGTGTCATGACAGAGTGGGGGCCTGACAGGGTAGTGGGAGGTAGATGGAGACAGGTGGATGCACAGGGTGCTAGAGAGGAAGAGCTGACGGATGGATGGGCCGTGTCTGCTTGGGCTCAGCCTTCGCCATTCCTCCCCCTTGTCCAGTCTCTCCTGGACCAGCATGTCTGTGGGCACCCAGCCCCCTATCTGGTTTGCTCCCTGGGACGGTCTGTGCTCACTCTCTGGAAGATCCTTCCCCAGAGCCTGGTGGGACCCCTTCAGTGTTTCATGTCTTCCTCCTCTTTGGTGCCCACCCCCGCTTCCTGACTCACGCTCTCCTCTCTCCCTCCCTGCAGTCGTCCCTCATGGATCTTGCCGATGTCTTCACGGCCCCGGCTCCTCAGCCCACCTCGGATCCCTGGGGGGGCCCGGCCCCCATAGCCGCTGCCGCCCCCACCGCTGCCCCCGTCTCAGATCCTTGGGGGGGACCTCCCGTCCCTCCTGCTGCTGATCCCTGGGGTGGCCCGGCCCCAACGCCAGCCTCTGGGGACCCTTGGCGTCCTGCTGCCCCAGCTGGGCCCACAGCTGACCCTTGGGGTGGGACCCCCGCACCCGCTGCTGGAGAGGGACCCATGCCTGACCCGTGGGGGGGTGCTGATGGTGAGTCCCCGAGAAGGAGCCTGTGGGTTGCCAGATAAGATTGCCCAGGGAATGTGTGGGGAGCGGCCCCTGAAGGACCAGCTTGTTCTCTGGGGGCTAGCAGTGGTGGCAGTCGAGTGCTTCTGGGAAAGTGGTAGATGGTAAAACTATAGAGGAGGGTGAGCAGGCTGGGAAGGGGTGGGGCTTCTCTGGACAGTGGTGGGAGCCACGAGGGGTGGGATGGGGCAGCAGAGGGGCCACAGGGCCCAGATGAGGCCTCTCATTCCGGTGGTGGTGGGGGAGATCTGGAGGGACTTCCTGGAGGAGGTGAGGCCTCAGTCTGAAAAGAAGGGAGCATAGCGTGGTCAAGGGCTTGGGGGTATCACAGCCCGAGGGGGAACGGAGTGTGTCTGGGAGAGGCAGTGACAAGGTGGGGATAGGGTGGGAGAGGCCAGCTGGGCTGACTGCAGGGGGAGGCTTAGGGGGACATGTTGCAGGGAGGGGCCGTGATTGTGAAGAGTGTCCTGTGGTTGTAGGAAATCTAGAGCCACAGCTTCACTGAGGAGACACAGCCCCAGAGCCCCGAGCTGAGCCCCAAGCTGAGGGGTAGCACGCTGGGTGGAGGGCCAGCCTGGCAAGGGCCTGTGCAGGGCGGGGGGTGTTGGATGTGTGCACAGGGGCACTGGAGGGACCAGGCGGACAGGCAGCCTGCCCCTCATGCAGAGCCTCCTTTTTCAACAGGTGGGGTCCCGGTTGGAGGCCCCCCCGCCTCTGATCCCTGGGCGCCGGCCCCTGCCTTTTCAGACCCCTGGGGGGGATCACCTGCCAAGGCTAGCACTAACGGCACCACAGGTACCGGGCAGGCCATGGGCCTGGAGACCTGGGGTGGGTTGGGCAGAGTCCAGAGTGTGTGTGTATATATATGCATGTGTGTGTGTGAATGTGTGTGTCTGAGGTACCCGGCAGTGAGGATGGGGCACTGGGGAGTTTAGTGGAACTTTCTGGTCTCCACTTTGCAGTCGGGGGATTTGACCCAGAGCCTGATGAGTTCTCTGACTTTGACCGACTACGGACGGCCCTGCCAACCTCCGGGAGCAGCACGGGTGAGCCGCCCGCCCCTTATTCTCACCACCCCAACAGGTGCTGGAGCCCCTGCTGGCTCCCAGTGGCCCTGACAACCCCGTCCTCCCTGTGGTGCTGCATCCTGGGGCGCCGGACCTCTGCTTTCCCTGCCTCTGCCCGGGCAGGCATGGAGGTGTTGATGAGAGCTAGGTGGGGTGGGGTAGAATGCAGTCCCGGAGTCAGACCCACCCACTCATCTTTAAAAAAATTACCTTCGTTTTGGAATAATTTCAGAGTTAGAGGTTGCAAAAAGAGTACAAAGGATTATTGCCTTCCTCGGGAGTCCACGAATGCTAATCTCTCGCGACTGTCTGAATTGTTTTTGAGCAGTTGCAGACTCACTGTTTCTGTTGCTGTTTTTGTTGTTGGTGGTGGTGATTTGTGATTTAGGAGACCTCATGTATTACAGAGTAGAACTGCTCCATAAGGTTTCCTAGGCTGTAATCTTTACAGGAGCAGATCGCCAGGCCTATTTCTTCTGCAGTTCTGCTGGGTGGGTTTGAACTACCAACCTTACGATTCCCATCTGAGTGCAAACCGCTTGTGCCACCCAGGGACCTTTCACTCAGTGTCTCTCAAAGCAGGCAGCTTCTCTGTTCCAGCGACCTGACAGTACAGCGATCAGGACCTGGAAGGTAGCCCAGGGGCTTCTTTCTTCTGCAGACATTACGCTTTCCTTGGTTGCCCCACTGATGTCTCTCATGGCAGAGAGCGCTTTTCTCTGGGCCAGGGTTCTGTCCACAGGGACGTGTTGCACTTAGATGTCCTGTTTCTTGAGTGTTCCTCAACCCAGAGCGGTTCTACATCTGTCTTCTCTAACAGTGACATGTTGGAAGAGCTGACTGTTTTTTGAATGTTCTTCAGCTTGGGTTTTTCAGAGGCTTGTTTATGATCATATCCACCTGTCTTTTTGGCAGGGGTACTCCAGAAATAACATTGGGTCTTCTTATCAGGAGGCACGTGATATCTACTTACCCATTACTGAGGATCATGAATCAAAGATCAAAGTTGACTCAGCAGCAACTGTTTTTTTTTTTTTTTTTGTGGGGGGATATGGATCTGAGTCTCCAGGTGGTACAAACAGTTAAGTGTTTGGCTACTAACTGAAAGGTTGGAGGATTGAGTCCACCCAGAGGTGCCTTGGAAGAAAGGCCTGGTGATTACTCCTGAAAAATGAGCCATTGAAAACCCTATGGAGCACAGTTCTACTCTGACACAGATGGGGCTGCCATTAGTAGAAGTTGATGGCATCAGGTTTGGTTTTTTTGAGGGGCTCTGGGTTGGAGTCCTTGGCTGATGCAAATGGTTAAGTGCTCAGCTGCTAACTGAAAGGTTGGTGGTTTGAACTCACCCAGAGGCACCTTGGAAGAAAGGCCTGGCAATCTGCTTCCAAAAAATCAGCCAGTGAAAACCCTGTGGAGCACAGCTCTACTCTGATGCACGTGGGATCACCATGAGTCGGAATCCACTCAGTGGCAACTGGTCTGGTTTTGAACTGATCACTTTTTAATTAAGGAAACTTTTATTGAAGCCTGAATTGTGGAACAGAAATACATTCCCACTGATTTAGTCCAGCACCCTACCCTGAAGGGAGATATTACAGCACCAACTTCCCCTCCTCCATCACATAAGGATTAATTTAGATTAGTGTCCAGTCTGCAGTTCTCATTTTTCTAGAACTTTCCATTAGATATTGCTGTTGTTAGGTGATCTTGAGTCTGTTCTGACTCATAGTGACCCCATGTGACAGAGTAGAATTGCCCCATAGAGTTTTCTAGGCTGTAATCTTTATGGGAAAAAACGGTATTGAAGGAAGAAGTCCAAGCTGCACTGAAGGCATTGGTGAGAAACAAGCCTCCAGGAATTGACAGTATATCAATTGTTTCAACAACAGATGCAGCACTGGAAGTGCTTACTTGTCTATGCCAAGAAATTTGGAAGACAGCTACCTGGCCAACTGACTGGAAGAGATCCGTATTTATGTCTATTCTAAAGAAAGGTGATCCAACCAAAATGCAGAAATTATCGAACAATATCATTAATATCACACACAAGTAAAATTTTGCTGAAGATCATTCAGAAGCGGCTGCAGCAGTACATCAATCAACAGGGAACTGCCAGAAATTCAAGCCGGATTCAGAAGAGGACGTGGAACCAGGGATATCGTTGCTGATGTCAGATGGATCCTGGCTGAAAGCAGAGAATACTAGAAAGATGTTAACCTGTGTTTTATTGACTATGCAAAGTCATACAACTGTGTGGATCATAACAAATTACGGATAATGTTGAGAGGAGTGGAAATTCCAGAACACTTGTGCTCATGGGGAACCTGTACATAGATCAAGAGGCAGTTGTTTGGACAGAACAAGGGGATACTGCATGGTTTAAAATCAGGAAAGGTATGTGTCACGGTTGTATACTTTCACCGTACCTATTCAGTCTGTATGCTGGGCAAATAATCCAAGAAGCTGGACTAGATGAAGAAGAATTCAGTATCAGGATTGGAGGAAGACTCGTTAACAACCTGTGTTACGCAGATGACACAACCTTGCTTGATGAAAGTAAAGAGGACTTTGAAGATCCTTACTGATGAAGATCGAAGACTACAGCCTTCAGTATGAATTACAACTTCAACATAAAGGAAACAAAAATCCTCACAACTGGACCAATAAGCAGCATGATAAATGCAGAAAAGATTCACGTTGTTAAGGACTTCATTTTACTTGAATCCACAATCAATGCCCATAGAAGCAGCAGTTGGGAAATCAAACAACATACTCCATTGGGCAAATCTACTGCAAAAGCCCTCTTTAAAGTGTTCGAAAGCAGAGATGTCACTTTGGGGACTAAGGTACACCACACCCAAGCCATGGTATTTTTCAGTTGCTTCGTATGCATGCGAAAGCTGGACAGTGAATAAGGACGACTGAAGAAAAATTGATGCATTTGAATTATGGTGTTGGCAGAGAATATCGAATATACCATGGACTGCCAGAAGAATGAACAAATCTGTCTTGGAACAGAATGCTCCTTAGAAGTGAGGATGGTGAGACTTTGTCTTACGTACTGTGGACATGTTATCAGGAGGAACCAGTCTCGGGAGAAGGACATCATGCTTGATAAAGTAGAGGGTCAGCAAAAAAGAGGAAGACCCTCAACATGATGGATTGACATGGTGTCTGCAACAATGGGTTCAAACAGCAATGATTTTGAGGATGGCGCAGGACTGGGTAGTGTTTTGTTCTATTGCACATAGGGTCACTATGAGTCAGAACTGACTTGATGGAACCTAACAACAATCTTTAGGGGAGCAGATTATCAGATCTGTCTCCCACAGAGCCACTGGATGGGTTCCAACCACTGACCTTTCAGTTAGCAGTTGAGCGCCTGACTGTTGTGCCACTAGGGCTCCTTCAACATTAGATACCTGTTGCTCCGACTCATAGTGAGCCTATAGGACAGAGTAGAACTGCCCCATAGGGTTTCCAAGGAGTGCCTGGTGGATTCAAACTGCTGACCTTTTGGTTAGAAGCCGAACTCCTAACCACTACACCACCAGGGTTTCCTCAGCATTAGATAGAATTCTTAAACCTATTTAAAATTAGAGAAATCATATCTCAAGCCAACAGATGTCATTAACGTCTACTGGGATCATTGGTGTTGGGGAATGTTGGTCCACTGTGAAGCTACCATGTTCCTGCTTGTGGGGAGACTTTTTGCGACTATGTTAATATCCTGTTTCTCACCTACTGGGTTTAGAGTTTGTTGATGATTCTTGCCTGAAACAATCACTACTACGGTGTTTGCCAAATAGTGATACTCTAGTTCTGTCATTACTTCTACCTCTGTTTGTTGGAATCATATGCATCTGTGTGCATGTGTTTTGCAACCATCACCACTATTGATTTCCAAGACTTTTTCATTACCCCAAACAGAAGTTCTGTCCATTAAGCAATAACTGCCCCCAGCTTCAACCCCATCCCAGACAACCATGATTCTACTTTCTGTCTCTGCATTTGCCTATTCTAAATATTTCATACAAGTGGGATCATACAGTGTTTGTTGTTTTGTGTCTGGCTTATTTAACTCAGCATAATGTTTTCAAGGTTCATCCATGTTGTGGTATGTATCAGGATTTCATTTCTCTTTATGACTGAATAATATTCCATTGTGTGTAGACCACATTGTGTTTATCCATTCATCTGTTAATGCACATTTTGGTTGTTTCCACCTTTGGCAATTGTGAATGATGGTGTTGTGAACACTGGCGTACATGTGTCTGTTTGTGTTCCTGTTTTCACTTATTTTGGGTAGATACCTAGGTGTGGAATTGCTGGATCATATTCTAAAATAATTCTGTTTGACTTTTTGAGGAGCCGCCAAACTGTTTTCCACAGCAGCCACACCTTTGTACATTCCCACCATCAGTGGACGAGGGTTCCAATTTCACTACATCGTTACCAACGTGTCATTTTCTGTTTTCTTGCTAATAGCCATCCTGGGGGGACCCATCCATTTTTTATTCTGGTCTCTCCAGTGTAGCTATTGACACCCCCTCTCTGAGCCTCGGTCCTCCTCCCTTTGGAGATCTCTGGGTACTGGCCCTCTGTGGAGCATCCGTACTGAGCTGCCCAGAGAACCTGACTCCTGGGGTCAGCGTCCCTCCAGATGTCTCCCCCTGAGCCCCTCTCACTGCTTCCTTCCAGGGGAGCTGGAGCTGCTTGCAGGAGAGGTGCCCGCCCGCAGCCCTGGGGCGTTTGACATGAGTGGGGTCGGGGGCTCGCTGGCTGAGGCTGTGGGGAGTCCCCAACCTGCAGCCACCCCAACCCCCACACCCCCCACACGGAAGACGCCTGAGTCATTCCTGGGGCCCAATGCAGCCCTTGTGGACCTGGACTCGCTGGTGAGCCGGCCTGGCCCCACGCCCCCCGGAGCCAAGGCCTCCAACCCCTTTCTTCCAAGCGGTGAGTGGCCCCATCTGCCCTGCCCCTGAACTACTGTGTCCCTGGGTCCTTCCCCCTGGCTTGACCAGGCTGGAGCCTTATGTGAGCTGGGACGTGGTTCCTGGTGCGTCTGTATGCCCAGGATGGGTTTCAAGTTTGTTGATTACCATTGACTGCGCTGTCTGTTGGTTTCTCCTTCGCAGGTGCCCCAGCCTCTGGCCCCTCGGTCACCAACCCATTCCAGCCCGTGCCCCCTGCGACGCTCACTCTGAACCAGCTGCGTCTCAGCCCTGCACCCCAAGTCCCTGGTGCACCACCGACGTACATCTCCCCCCTTGGGGGGGGCCCTGGCCTGCCCCCAATGATGCCCCCAGGCCCTCCGGCCCCAAACACTAACCCCTTTCTCCTATAATCCAGGAGGGGGAGGGGGACTTGGCCCAGCCTGGCTTCCCCCATTTCTGCTTCCTGGGAGATCAGTGTTGTGAGTGCATGTGAAATGGGGGCCCCCATCCTCACCCAGCCCCCTTCCCCCTGCTGGGGCCCACTCACACTACGCCCTCTTCCCATTGCCCCCCCCATTCCACCTCCCCACGGAGAAACTGGACCTGGGGGGTGGGAGGGGTGTTGGCAAGAGGAGGACCCCTTTCCTGTGGCATTAGAAGGGAGAGGGACAGCTGGGGGTCCCCCCACCCATCCCCCCCTCCAAATTCCTGACCACCTCAAATCAGTGTTGGAGCCTCCTCATCCCCCTTACGCACCCCTCGGTGAATCCTTGGTGATGATTTTGGCAACTTTGGGAATAAATGGCAATTCTCTTGGGCATGGCTCCCCCATATTGTTCTCCGTGGTTCGTGTCCCTGGAAGCCCCTTCCCTAGGCCGCTGGACCTAGGGCTCTGGATTCACCTCGCCTACCTCTGGGGCAGCCCTCTCTCGGGGGCCTTGAATCCCTTCCCCTGCCCTTTTGGGGTTTGATGGGGGTCAGCTGTGTCGAGGGTGGGAGGGGCAGCCTTGGAGGAGCTGCAGACTACTCGGGCCGGAGAGTTGGTACTCAGGTGCGCTGGCTTCGGATTGTGACTAACGGACACTGTTGAGGTCGGGGTTGCTGAGGGTTAAGCGATGATGGTAAGGGTTCTTACTCAGAAATAGCAAATACACAACGCACAGTATCTCTGCAACGCACATATATCTGCCATAGCCTGTGGCCAGGCGAGGCATCACTAATACACAGCGGGCGGCGCTTATCCATGGCAGGCAGGACTAGTTCACCCCGTAAAAAACCCCAAACCAAACCCACTGCCATGGAGGCGATTCCGACTCATAGCGACCCTATAGGACAGAGTAGGTCTGCCCCATAGGACTTCCAAGGAGCGCCTGGTTTATTCAAACTGCTGAATTAGCAGCCACAGCTCTTAACCACTACGCCACCAGGGTTTCCAGTCCACCCCAAACCACACCAATTTACGCCAGGTTAGTAGGGGACCCACATCAGGCATCACTAATCCGCATCGGGCAGAAACGATCCAAGCCAGGTAGCGCCGACCTACACCAGGCATCACTAATCCATGGCAGCACCAATTCATGCCAAAACTCGTTGCCATGGAGTGGATTCCGACTCCTAGTGACCCTATAGGACACAGTAGAACTATCCCACAGGGTTTCCAAGGAGCGGCTGGTGGATTCGAACCGCTGACCGGACACAACCACTGCGCCACCAGGCAGCAGCTGTCCACGCTAGGCACTGATTCAGGGCAAACAGAGATAGGCCACACCAGAGAGCGCCGATCCATGCCAGGCATCATTAATCCATGGCAGGTAGCACCAATCCAAGGCAGATAGCACCGACACACCCCCAGGCATCACTAATCTATGTCAGGGAGCAACGATCCGTGGCAGGCATCACTAATCCACGCAGACAGCACCAAGTCATTACAGGCAGCACTGATCTACGCCAGGTAGTACCGATTCAAGACAGGCAACACTAATCCACAGCAGGCAGCACCGATCCATGCCAGGCATCGCTAATCCACGCCAAGCAGCACTAGTCTACCCAGAACCCCAGGCGACCTCTGCTGGGGAGCCGACGGGGCTGGGCGCCCCCTGTCGGGCATGTCTGCTCTTGTGCTGGCTGGACCCCTTCCCACCAGCGTCATCTCAGCGAGTCCAACAGTCCAGAGAGGCGGGACCGCGGTCCTCTCAGTGCACAGATGGGTCCGCCAAGTCCCTTTTATGATGCGGTGTCTCCCTGGGGTCGGATCCTGACTGCTGGGGCCATTACTTCGGCCACTCCTTCAACAATGGGCCGCAGGCCATGCCGGAGCCAGGACCCGGAGATTAGCCAGATTTCATTCTTGTCTCTGTTTGCTCAGGAGATGCTTCCGGGCCAAGATGCCAAGGGGACAGACAGACGGGCCATCGCGACACGTGGGCATATGGGGGACCCAGAGAGCTTCCCCCTCTCACCCCGCCAGCCTGGGTATCAGGAAGACCACTGAGAGGGGGTGTGATAGCCTGCTTTGATCCCCCCGTTTGTAGTCCCCCTTGTGTAGCCCCTCCCAGGTTGAGCAGGGCTGCCCTGTATAACCTTGAGGTATGTGACTTCTGAGTCTTGGGGACCCCCTTGGGTGCGGCTGCCACCATACCAATCGTAGAATAAAGCCAAGGTTAGATGCCTTGCAGGAGTCCCTGGACTACTAACCAAAAGGTTGGCAGTTCGAACCCCCCCAGAGGTGACTTGGAAGAAGGGATCTACTGCCCAAAAATCAGCCACTGAAAATCCTGTGGAGCACAGTTCTACTCTGACACACATGGGGTTACCATCAGTCGAAATCAACCAGATGGCAACTAAAACAATAAAATTCCCTGCTACTAGACACGAGATGCGCCCTGACTACTAAGCATCAATGTACTCTGGCTGCAAGCTCAGAAAGTGACCCCTGCCACCTCCCACAGACGGGGAATGTACTCGAGGGTCGTGGGGAGCTTGATGGACAGAGGGGTCGGCAGATGCACCCCGCTTAGGAAGGACATGGGCCCAGGGATGCTGGGCCTATGTCTGGGGGGTCAGTTGGTTTCAGATTCGGAACACCGGAAGAGTATCTCACCGTCTCAGCCCCAGGAGGGCAGCCCCTTTCTCAAGCTCTGGCCATGCTGGAGAAGGTCCCTGGATGGTGCAGTTTGCTCTCCGCTGCTAACCAAAAGGTTGGTCGTTTGAACCCACCCAGCAGCACCATGGAAGAAAGGCCTGATGATCTGCTTCCTTAAGCTCACAGCCAAGAAAACCCTATGGAGCAGTTCTACTTTGTAACACATGGGATCGCCATGAGTCGGAATCAACTCCATGGCAATGGGTTTGATTGGTTTGGGTCATGTTGGAGTGAGGGAATTCCCTGGGAGGAAATTGGCTGCTACCAGGGGAAGTTGGGTGGTCACTGGGTCCTTGGGCTTCCCCCAAATCTTCCTGCTGTAGTCCCTGGGGGCAGGAGGCCTCAGCACCCCACATCCAGGTGTTTGGCCTGGGGCCCCAAGATGATAGGGAGAGGAGGCTGAAGACAGTTCTGGGTGGGCTTGTGATGAACGGTCTCAGCTTACCAGAGATGAAGGAGGTGGACCCTCCACTTTCGTTCAGATCTTGGTCCTCCAAGACTGCAAGGCTCTGTGGGCCACTTAGTTCCTTGCTGCCCTCCGTTTCATGGAATTAATCATGTGTTTAATGATTTCATGCCTCTGAGCCTTCATTTCTTTTAAAAGAAGCAGAGGGCAAAAATAAAACGACCGAGTTCTGCTTAATTGAGTGGAAGTGTTAAAGGTCAGAGAGTTTATTTCTCTCTCAATTTTTCTGTCTTCAAAATGGAGGAAACAGTAGACGTAAACCATCTAGAACGGCACACGGCGTGAAATGGGGCATTATCCCTTCTGCATCTTCCTTTCTTTCTTTCCTTACAGGATCAAAGGTATTCATAGCAGCAAATGACATTGTGTCTCCTTTTATTCTTCTTTCTAGAGTATTCCAGCCACCATAGTTCTCAATAGGTGCTGACATTTGAGGACAGCTGCCCCCTTTTGAAAGGACCCTGGTGGCGCAGTGGTTAGGCGCTTGGCCGCTAACCGGAAGGTCAGAGGTTCAAACGCAGCAGCCGCTCCACAGGAGAAACACCTGGGGATCTGCTCCAATAAAGATTACAGCTTTGGAAACGCTATGGGGCAGTTATATTCTGTCCTATAGGGTCACTGTGAGTCATGACTATGAGTCAGAATCGACTTGATAGCAACGGGTTTTGGCCCCCTATTTGGGTTTTGGGTTCTCAAAATATGAACATGTGGTTTGTAGAGATCATCCGTAATTGGGAATCCCTGAGTAGTGCAAACGGTTAACACGATCAACTGCCAACCAAAAGGTTGGTGGGTGGAGTCCACCCAGAGGTGCCTCAGAAGAAAGCCCTGGCAATCTGCTTCTGGAAAATCAGCCATTGAAAACTCTATGGAGTATAGTTCTACCCTGACACACATGAGGTCGCCATGAGTTAAATAGACTGGACTCCAGGCAACTGGTGTTCTAACATTTAATGTTGAGTGAGTTCATTTATTCATGATTCATTAATTTATTCTCGCAATGTATACTTCATTTTTTTCCTTTCACTGACTCAATGGCAAATGTGCTCTGAGGCCCCATGTGTCAGGTGTCACACTCTGGGCTGAGCAGCTCTAGCCCAGTGGTGTCACTGGAGTTGGTGTCACCCCCCTCCATGGACCTCCTCCTGTACCAGACCATACAAAGTCCTTAGTAATGTTTTTTGTACTAATGTTACTCATAAATTGTAATTCCTGTATAGCACTCCTTCTTTTCCTTTAATTACTACTTCATTCTCAAAAAAGTTATAGATACAGGCTCATGAATACTAATTACCACAATATTGTAGCTAAAACACCAGAAAATTTGACAAAATTAACCACTATAAAAACACCAGCAGTAACAGCTTCTGCTTGTAGTGCGTGAAGATGAACCAAGTGAATTCGAAGCATCATTGTTACTGGGTAATAATGACAGCTCTGACCAGAGCTTATTAGAAGGTTCAAAAAGTAAATTAGCATAGAGTTTTAGCTTTGTAGATGTATTGATACATGTAAACTGGGCTTACAAAAATTTTTTTTTTTTTTAAATATTTTTTTGGATAGTCATTTGGTGTCACACTGTCTGACAGAGTCACATAGTGTGGTCTGCACCCTTCCCCCCGCATCCCCTGGTGATGCCCTGTTCTAGCCACATATGGGTGGTGGGGAGGGTTGTGTGGGTGTGTTTCTGACCTGGACATCTTTTCCGAGCATTGGAAGTGGACAAAAACCCTACCTACAAAAGTGCGGGTGGGTGGAGGGAGGGGTCATCGGTTTTTTACCCAGTTTAGGGCCTTGGGGTT